ACACATTACATATTATGTAAATGCGTATATATTATTTTATATACACAGCATGCGACGTGATACTATAAATTGATAAAGTGTATTGTTTATTATGAGTATATTACTATATTGTAATCAATAACGATAATAATAAATTATACTGTGTAATTAATAATGAAAAAAAAAAATAAAAAATCAACTAATGTACGGTGTATACATAATAATATGCAGATTGTGTATAGTATTTTAGGATTACGTAAATTAATAGTAAGTATAGTAAATACTCTTTGAAAATATTGACTACCTTCAAATAATAATAAGAACAGTGTTCTCGCCGACACACTAGTCTTTTTAGCTAATAAATGTATAAATCGATAGTAAATTATATCCTCTACCCAAATGTAAAAATTATCTTAATGTCATTTTAAAACTCTCAAGCTTATTTCAATATTTACCCATACAGGTATAGGGAACCCGTACCAAACCAAAACTTCATTAAATCAGAAGAATTTGTTAGGAATAATCTAGGACGGTTATAATAAATTACGAATAATTGTATAAATCATATTGTGTAACACAGACAGACACACCCAATTATAAACAACACATTGAAAACTACAACGATAATTAATTGAATTAATAATATCATTACAATAAATGTTAGGCAATCGTGGAAGACAAGTTTAACGAAAATAATTAAATTACCAACCCACCAAAGAACCGAGGAAAGGGTTAGTTTTAATTTTATACAATATCTATATCTATATCTATATATATATATATATATTTATATATATCACAAATTATACTTTGACATATTAATGCATTCGTTCAATGCAAATTTGGTTTTTTATATTTAAGAGATTGGTAGGAATCTATAGATTACGTAAATTATCAAGTATTCATATTATGGACACTGTTTTGCTTTCGAATTTCACTAATATTTCCATTGTCGCAATAACGAATAATAACCTTAATAATGCAATAACCAAATGCTATGTAGAAATACGTCTCATATAGAACATGTATAACAATCGGTATCCATTACTAATCGCAAGACAGAGATAATTCTTATAAGCCGTTGCAATACAATGGAAATGCATATAAACTTATCAACCGTTAAGTCGTAAGTCTAAGTTTAGTGTCAATAGTTTAACTTTCTCTACTTTGGATGATATTAATGGTGTGTGCCTGAAAATTTATCAATTGTGTGAAATCGTTATTGCCGTCATACATCGTATCAAAAATATGATCAACATTTAATATTTTGATCAAACACATTTCTAAGAATTTCAGCCTCTCCACCGTTAGACAAAATCATTGACAATATTTACATTCAATTATATTTCTTCAAAAATATAACAAATTGGTTCAATGAAGCTTAAAAATGCACTGTCTCAAAAAAATAAATCCTATTAAAAAAAAAACAAAAAGTTTAATAGAGACTATGTGTACAAACAGCAATTCAACATGTGTTACGTATTTATAATACATAAATATACTTTACAGTAAATTTTTAAATAGAACGTAATAAATAGCCGTTGTAGCCGAAGTCGAAAATTATTCCATTAAAATGAAATAAATTTAAAGATATATTCAATATAATATTATTATTTTCCTTTTCGATTGATAATAATTTATGTCCGTCTTTACTATGATTTGTAAACCGTCGTGAAATTTAACGTTATTTATATTTTAAAATAAATCAAATAAATAGTATGATTACAAATTACTATAAAGTTTTCATTGTGTTCTATAAATAAAATCACAAAATATTATTTCGCAACAGAAATAGGTCCATTTTATTTACAGTCAACTATTTTGTGACAAATCAACTAGAAAATTACACATATAGGTACAATAATATTAGTAGTTATACTTGTTTGATAATCCAATCAATATGTGTAATATTTTACAGTTGTTGATTCAATCAGGTAATATTATTGTTCTTCAATACTGAATACTAGATAATACTACATTATCTTGATATTTGTATAGGAAAACTTACTAAACATTTCAAACTGAACCAAACAAAATATTAAGTAGTTCTTGATTAATTATTTAAAAAATAGAGAAGTCGATTCGTGAAATACCTATTTATTTATATTATTCCAGTTAGACTTGACAGTAGAAATTGTGTTTATTATTCTGCCCATTAAATGGGCAAATTTTTCTCATTTGATTTTAATGCTTAGATCGAATTTAAAAATATGTCGTGATAAATAATTTTCACGTGATGAAATTAAAGTAAATTTGAAAAAAAATTTAAGAAATTTTTAAATTAATCATTATTTTTAAATAGAAGTGAAGTTTTGGGGAAAAATTTGAATCATATAGGTATTTTTAATAACAAAAATCAATTTGAATTCAAATTTGAAACTTAAATTAGAATTTTCCGATTTTTGGAATATAATTACAATACACTATTAAGCATGTGGCTGAAAACTCGTTTTTATTGTATCATAATTTATTTTTCATGTGGTTGTTTGGATTATTTGTTGGTATTTTAATTTTAGTGTGTACGATTATCCCAGTATTACATGGTTTTTGTGTTAAAATTGTGTCAGGCAGTTGCGTTGTAAGTATTTTCCATATTTTTAGAAGCGGAGTATTGAAAAAGAGCAAGTGAAAAAATAAAACAAATACATAAATGTAGTTATCGAAATTTGTAATTCATAATCAAATGTAAAAAAAAGTAGCATCGTATCGTTGCACTCTGGGTAACGGTTATTCGATAATTTGGATTTCTAAATAACACACTGATTGTATTATTACAAAATTACAAATGATTACAAAAATTATAAATCTAAATATAATATCTCTTTTATACTTCTGTTCAGAACTACGAGATGATTATAATCTACATTTACGCGCTTGATGATTGCGATGATAACGATAATAATAATATCGAGCATATATTAAACACTTTAATTAATCATATACGTACAAATATATATATATTGGACCAATGCATGTTGTAATGTATAATTATTTCATATGAATTTTTATAATAATAATATAATGTTATGTTAGTTTTTGATTTTTAAAAACAAATAATTATAAATTATAAATCATACTCATCTTAATCTAAATTTTTTTCCAAGTATCCTTTTTTTGAGTCGAAAAAATATATTTTTTCCAATTTCTTTTTTTTACTTAATTTGTTTTCCTAACGTCGCCAAGAGGATATATATATATATATATATTCACTAATATTATTCTAGTAGTTTATAAAATGTATATATTTTTTGTTAAAACGTAGTTCTATCAAAACAAATCAATTATGAACAAAATGGTAATTATTGCTATTATTCTTTCGTTAGTTTTAAATATCCACTAAGTAAAAAAGCTCAAAGGGAAGATCTATCTTCTATTCTACTCATCCCTCCGTTTATCTATCGATGGTACCGTAGGTATACGAATTTATTTGATTTTTGTTATTTGTTTTTTGACTACCATCGCAAATACGTATTCTTATTTGGATCACTGCTATGGCTTGAAAACGCGCAGTTTACAATTAATTACTCGTCTATGCTTGCACGAAAATGTATTATTTTATGTTAGTGTATTCGTGTATGTGAAAGTGTCTACGCGTATTATGAGCGTGTACGGTTCGCGCACACAAAAGAACTGAAAGTTGTTATTTATTTTTATTGTTTTCTATTTTTTTTTTTTACCCCTGAGCTGCACTGCACATAAAAAGTAAATGTCTTTGTGGATTCGATCGACGCACTTAAATTTTATGCGAATCCGAATGGCGAGATATTGTCATTTATACATATACATCTATATATTTATTGTATAAGTAGATAGTCGCGCGTATGGAAATTCGATCGCCATGGCTATTTTGACCACCGCCTCGTATCTTACGGCGAGCAGCACAAGTGTATATACCTAATAGTGGGCTGCAACGTGCTGTATGTATGCATGTATATGTATATTTTGGTCTTTATTTGACCTGCGAAATGGAGTGGTAAGAGGGTGGTTGGGAAGCCGGGAAGAGTAGACGGGGATGACGGATAGACCGAAAGAAGGGTGTATATAGACCAGTGGTTCCCAACCTTATTCATTCTACGCCTCCTTTGTAGATTTCCAAAAATCTCATGCCCCCCCCACCTATAAATTGAAAAAATTATAATTTTTTTGTTTACTTTTCATTTTACAAATAAACTATATAATATTCGGAAAGACTACATTTTTATTGATGATAGTAATTATAAAATATAAATAATTGTAAATAATATAGTACTATAGTAGAATTATAAATTGACGTGAGTAATTATTATAGTAAATTAGTAAAAAATATAAATAATAGAATGTATAATAAAATTAACATTTAATGTGAAGGCTGACAACACTTTTCTTTGGACAATTTTTTAAAGTTCGGCTCGATGTTTGATAAAGAACACCTCAAGTTAGATTCGACATCCAAGCGATTTCTATATTTGGTTTTATTTATTTTGGTTTAAATTATAAGGCTTCATTTGAAATTTCAGGATATATGGGTTGATATTTTACCCAAAACTCTTCCAAAGAGCTACCACTGTTCATTAAAATCAATTTTTGGGCGTGAATCATTCTTCAGCTCGATTACCTGTTCTTGAAATGTATCCGGCAATGTGTCTACGTTAGCACTGAATGGACAACTTATTAGCGTATATTTCCAACTTTCGTTAGAAAAACCGGAAAATATCGCATGAATTCATCAGTCAAACAGTCAAGATGTTGATCACTATACTTTTCAATCCAACAAGACAAATAGATTCTTCCTCATCAGAGATAAGTTCGTTCAATCGACGGAAAGACGAAAAATTAGGAGTATCTTTGTTTACTCGGCGTTTCCACAGCTGTATCTTTTCTAGAAATGAGTTTATAGAATTTTTGGCGGTTATAATATTCGTATTCCTCCCTTGTAATTTGAGATTTAGGTTATTAATAGTTTCAAAAATATCTACTAGGTATGCAAAGTATAATGTGAAGTTTTCATTGGTAAAATTCTCACGAAGATTGTCTTTTCTTAATTATAAAAGCATAATTTCCACTTCAGATTTTAATTCGTACAAACGTTCAAACATATTCCCTTTTGATAACCAACGAACCTCTGTATGGAATAACAAAACAGAATGTTCTGCGGACAGCTCTGAACAAAGAATCTTAAAAAGACGCGAGTTAAGTGCACTGCTTTTGATGGTGTTAACAACTTTTATACATACTTCAAGTACATTTTTAAGTTCAGATGGTAGCGTTTTTGCAGCTAAAGCTTGTCGGTATATTACACAACAAGAACCGATTATTGACGGGTTTTTATTTTTTGCTAGGCTTACAAAACCCAATCTTAACCCTAGCATTACAGGAGCACCATCTGTACAGACACCTACAACATTTTTCCAAGACAAACGATTCTGATCAAAAAATATGTCAATGGTAGACAAAACGTCACTGCCTTTCGAGGTGGAATTTAAAGCCTGGGAAAATAGAAGTTCTTCTGCGATGGACTGTTCATTTATAAAACGGCAGTAAACTAATAGTTGGCGAAAATTGGCCACATCAGTTGATTCATCACATTGGATTGCAAAGAATACGGAATGTTTTAATTTATGAATCAACTGATTTTTAATGTCCAAAGCTAATTCATCTATAAGTCGTTTCACTGTATTATCTGAAAGAGATATTTGAGCTATTTTCCTTTTGCTTTTCTCACCAAGTACTATTTCAATAGCTTTAAGTATGCTAAGTTTAATTTATGTTTCACCCAAGGTATGGAGTTTATTTTGTTGAGCCACCATGAAAGCGATGTGATATGAAGCTTCAAAATTTTTTTTATTATTCTGTTGAAACTCTCCGGTATGATCAATTTTCATTTTACTTAAAGAATTTTTTTTAGCAACAAAAAACTCTTTAGGTTTTCCTTTTAGTATCGGATGAGCTGTGGTTAAATGTCGTTCTAGTCGACAAGGTCGGAGGGCATCGTTACTTAATACAATGTGACAAATAACACACTGAGGCTTTTGGACACCATCTTTTTCAATAAACGTAAAACCAAATTTGACATAATCATCGATATACGTTCTTATTTTCGGAGGAGCCATTACTTTGATATATGTGCACTCACGACGACTACGTACTACGACACTGACGTGCACTGAGCAACTGCAAAATAAAACTAAATCGCGTCTAAACTAATCTAATAGTTTTTTCTCCTGGCTTTCTCTTATCGTACTGATTAATTTACGATGTGGCATGGTGCACTATGGCTAAACACTTGTAATCTTTATCGATTACTTTATCGACTTTAACGACCCTATATTCTATAATCTATAACGATAACCAGTCTTTAATAATTTTTCATTTTTTCTCTTCATTTTAAATATAATAAAATTTGATAAATAAAAATTTTACTTTGTGATGACTGCTTGCGCCTCCACAGGCGTGTATACGCCCCCCAAGGGAGGCGCGCCCCCTAGGTTGGGAATCACTGATATAGACGGACGATGATTTCCGGGTAAAAGGGATTCAATTGATTTTTGTTGAATATGGAATTATTTATTAATATGAACAGATTTCTCATTCTTTATAAATGGGTTAAACGGGATAACTCATTTTTATCAACAATATGAAATTAGTTAAATGTAATTTGAGATGAAAACAAAAATATTTTAGCGAATTGTGACCTTTTCAGTTATTTCTTTTTGACCACTGTCAACATTTGTTTATAAAAGAGATAAGTTAATTTCAGCATGGTAAGAAGAGGATGAAAGATTAGTAAATTTAAAAATATGAGCTCTATATGAATGTTGTTGAAATTAGTTTGAATGTATTTTTTTTCTTTAATGCAATGACATTTTAAAACAGATTTTAAGTTTATAAACACACTCCTGAAAATCTGTGAATTTTTTCTGATCTCCTTTTAACCGGAGATCGTCGAATTATTGTTCCATTTAGCTCTTGCTCAGGTTGTTCCGTTTCGCAATAAAATTAATAAAATTATAAAAAGAGATTTTAGGTACAAAAATGATATAAAAGAAAATATGTAGATTCTACACTGTAGAATCATTAAAATACTTCATTTGAACTACGACTGGAGGATTATGGTGACAATATATTATCATTATGTTAAATTTCAATATACCACGAAAATATTAAAGTGGAAAAATGCATCATAATCTCAAATTTTGTACGACAATTCCTGTGTGAGTAAATTTAATTTGTGTTCAATAATTATTAACAATAGTTTCAATTAAAAATGAAAACATTGATTACGAAATCAATACTGTTCGTTTTAGTTTTCTCGGAAAAATTGTATTGACATACCTTTGAAAATATTTTATTATTTTTCTAAAATAAAAAAAGTGGTTAGTTTTATACTTAGTACTTCATTGGTAAACTTATTACGGCTACACCTACATTTATATGGTTACAATGCGAGTATTTTATCTTTATGAAAAATTCAATATCCTTTTATGTTTTCATTTTTAGAAAAGCAAACCCATCGTTTAATAATGTATTTTATATTTTTGACTATCTTTATTACGTTTATGGATGTTTTTAAGTTTACAGTTTTATTCTAGTATACATATTTCAAAACAGTTTTTAACATTAAAATATATGTATAAAAATAAATAAACTCATGGTTGTAAAATATAGATGGCGATTGAAAACGATTTTTACCTACGAATAATTATTTTTGCCATAAATTATGAGAAAAATAACAGGGTGAGCGAGCTCCTTTTTGCGACAACACGTACACAATTTTTACAAATTACAACCATTTAGCTTTTTTGGGAATACCGAATATTAGTTTCTATGTTACATTGCTATAGTTAATTGGTAAGATTGCACACCGGCACCATGTCCGTTTGTTGTCCGTTCAACGTTAGAGTGTAACATTTTATCCTTGTACGGGAAACGTTAACGAAACGTTTCAATTTTAAACAAGAACGAAATAACCATTCAAGAGCTGTCAATACTTTGATTTAAACGATAAAAATAATTTATTTATAAGTTGACAATTCTTGTTTTAATTGTTATAAAGTTAAGACGTTGATGAATGCGAAAATTATATACTACGAAACCTCAATTTGTAAAGGTTATACGATGGGGGTGGCGAGTTTTAAGCTCTTCAGTAGAAGGGTGTTGCATTCAAAAAACACTTACTGAATACAAAGAAAAAAAATAATTTGACAACAATGAACTATAGAATTAATCAGCAGTTTTTCAAACTTTGACATAAAATTAAGTACGTTTTTGGTTCATTTCAATTCTTGTTTTCTACATACATTTTGAGTAGTTGGTCCTAGGTAGATTTGTTTTTATACCGTTTTGAGTTAGTTCATTATCTTGTACACCGTCTTTGTTATAATAATTAATATTACGGTACAATACGTACTTGGATAATGAATATTTTAATTATACTATTTCCTAAGAATTGAATGAATTTTATTATTTTTTACTCGTGACTATGTTTGTACATTATACGTTTATTTTAATAATTATATTATAAAAATTATTACTTTGTATTTGAAATAATAACGGTGTTAGGAAAAAAAAAATATTATTTTTAACCATAAAACTGCTTACGCTGTAGATAACTTAATAATAAAATAATAACAATAATATTATACTAATTCCAGTAGATTTTATTAAATTGTGTAACATAACAAAATAACTTATAATAATTTTTTTATCATTACTTAAAAATAAACAAGTGTTTGACCATGATATTTGAAAAAAAAAGTTATTTAACTTATTTATTTAATTTTGAAACGAGATACCGCAAGAAAGTATTATACTTTTAATCAACTACTCTTTCAGTGGAACGACCTTACAAGACTGCTTGCTATAGTGTATTAATTACCAAAGTAAGATCCAAATACAATAATAAGTCTTAGATTTAGACTTTTCCTGTGGCAGAAAAAATATAGTGATGAGACGAAATAAAATTTATATCCTACGCAAAGATCCGTATAGTCGAGAGGCAAAGATAGGTTTCATTGTTCTATAATCATTGTTTTAGTTAATTTGGGCAGTATACCATGATATTCGGTCGAAATTATTGTTTACAGATGATGTATGTCTTCATTGTATCGTATCCTATTATTTGATAAAAATTTGATCACTTCGATCCCAAAGGAGATAGATGCGAAAAATAAAAATTTAAGCTTTAGATTTTTTGGATTGGCTTGAAGAAAATATCATTTTTTTTTTATAAACGTCGACTTTCTGATGTTCTGGTTGTGAAAGTTCCATTAGGTACATAGTATGTACGTGAAAATGCCGACAAATTCATGGAGATTTAAACAGCTTGGATGAAATGTGTAGTGTTTTCGGTGTTATTTCGGTTTTATGATATTATTTTAATTATTATAACAAACGCAAATTCGGCACGTTATCGAGATTCCCATTTGACCCAACCCCTCCGAATGAGTGTGTACATATATATAACAATTTGATATTAAAATATTGATTTGTACTCGTCAACTGTATAACAACCGCGTCGTTCATCGAATCGTTTGCTGTCCTCAAAGTGTGCTGGGTGTGCGGGGGCAACGCTGCATTATTTAAAAGGTCACAGGACTTGGCGTCGTCACTGTCGTCATCGTCGCCTGTGGACCTGGAGAAATAGTCGTTTTGTTTTTCAAAAGGGTTTAATTGATTACGAATACGTCCCGACGTTACGGCGTAACGTAAAATTATTATTATCATTATTTTCTCAGGAGATCTTTATTTTTTTCAACAATAGTTTATCTGGTTCCTAAATTATGTATTGCAGTATTTCGTTGTAAAGAGTGTTATTC